CAGGTGCCCCTTAAATATTCATGTGTCTCAAGTTCTGGCCCAGGCCCTCTCTTCCTCTTATATATTCCCCCTAAGTAATCCCACATACCACAGGAACTTCCATTACTACTTAATTACTTTGAATCTGTTCTCAAACCTAGACCTTTCTCTTGATGTACAGACCCAAATTCTCAAATGTCTAATAGGCATTTCTATTTGGGTAATCTACGAGCACCTCAAAATGAACATGTTGAAAACTGAACTTATCCCTTTCCTCTAAAAACACAATTCTATCCCATATTCTCTATCTTAGTGACTAATACAACCCACCTCCTATATCTCATTCCAAAACTCACAGCTTCTCTTATGACGTTATACCTGTCGTCTCCCTCTCCTTCACTCATTAAGTCCAATCAATGACCAAATCCTGTTGATACTGCCCTCTTAGTCTCTCTTGCAACCATTTACTTCTCTGCGCGTCACTCACTAAATCACCTTAGTCCAAACCAATGCCTCTTGCAGGAACTACCTCAAAAGCCTCTTACCCGATCTCTAACTGGATAAAATGCATTTTGTTCTCGCACAATCCAATCTCAAAACTGCCCTTATTATGAAACAAATCTGACAGCACTCTTCCACATGAAACTCTTCAATGACTCCCCACTGTCATAGGTGAAAGCCCGAATTCCTTAGCATGACAAATAAAAATCTTCATGATCACCGCATCCCAGTTCATTTCTCCCAAATTCATCCCTCACACTTTCCCCTAAAAGTGCTGAACTCCAACCATTCTCTCAAAGTATAACATATGCTCCTACCTTTATATTGTAACTCTGGTTTGAAACACTCTTCCCAACTTCTTCACTTTCCAAAACTCAAAACTCCTCTTATCTCCTTCTACTCCATACACATTTTTATTAAGATTTCCCTTCTGATTAATATTAAATGCTGAAATTTATATTATTATATACTGAAAAAATATCTGATAAAATTCAACATCCTCTCTTGATTAAAAAATAAAACTCTTAGCAAACTGAAAATAGAAAAAAAGTCCTAAATGTGATAAAAATATTTTTAAATCAGAAACCATATCATTTTATTACAATTAATGCTGAAACTTTAGAAGCATCCTATGCAGGGAAAGAACAAGATAGAAAACAACTTTCGCTGCTTTGCTAATGCTACAGACAACACAGTAAGAATTAGGTATAAATACTAGAAAGAGAAAATTGTAATTCTATGCTGATAAGAATATCTTTAGAAAAATAAAGAGAATCAACTGAAAAACTAATAGAAATAATCATCCAGCAATGTAAGCAGCTGCAATACAAAAATTACCCACTTTCTGACATATTAGCAATTAAGTTAAAAAACTTAGTGTAAAAAAAGATCCTATAGTAACCACCTTCCCTCTGTCCCTCAAAGAATAACCCAAAGATGTTAATTCTCCTCAAATTAATCTATAAATTCCAATTCAATTACACTCAAAATCCCAATAGGACTTATGAAAGAATCTGACAATGAGCCAGGAAATTTTTGAAAAGAGAGAAGGTCGTAACAGATATCAATACACATTACAAAGCTCCACTAACTAAAATTGTATAATTCTAGTGTAGAAATTAAAAAAAATAAAAATGATAAATCCATAAACAGAAACCATCCCTGAGCCTCCAATCTCAAACACATCCCCCTGACATACTCGCAGTACCTATATTTCTCTTTCATAGACAATTATCAGTTATTCTGTATTTATGGTTGCTCATCTGTTTAACGCAATACTATAAGTACTGTAAGAACAAGCACTAGTTATGTTTTGTTCGATCACCTTATACAAAGCCCTTGTGCCTGGCATTTATAGATGGATTTATATATAGGTTCCCATTCCCAATGTATTGTGACCTCCCTACTTTTACATATCTTATGTGAATATATCCTCCAAAAAACAAAAACAAACAGCACTAACACAATACTGAAAGAATCCCTAAAATTAGAACATACCTCAGTACTCTAAAAGGTGAGAAAATAGCATTAAAGCTCTCCTTTGATAATTCAAATGAAAACCACTGGAAGTACTTTACCAAATTCTACAAATTCTGAAATAATATCAAATAATTAACAGATGCATTCGATCAATACTTTCACAAGTCTTTTAGAGTTTTGGTAAATATCCAAGGAACCATGTTTCTTGCTTAGACCACTGTGCTTATTTAAATTTTGCCAATGCACTACATTCTGGTCACAACTTCACTGGCATTTTTACATTTGCAGAGAACCTCTCTTTCACCATTTGCCACACTTTTTTTGACCATTTTCCTGGAGCCCCAAAATATTAAATTAATTATTTACTTAATTATAGCATACATTACCTGCATAGAAGACACAGGATCTTTGGAATCAACATACACATCTTTCAGTAATGACAGCAGTTTGTCATCTTTTCTAGCAATTTCTCCCTTAATATCTGGACGGGCTACGGAAAGAAATAGAATGTCACAATATCAAAACCAAAGAAATTCCCTCTAAGGTCCTAAACACTTAATAAACGACAGTCACTTTTAATTTCTTGTTAAGAAACAATCACTTGGCCAGCACGGAAAACATTTTAAAGTAAATCAAAATGCTAGGTCAGGCTCGGTGTCCATCGTTCTGTGAAAACACCTAGGGAAAACTTCAGCTGCACATGATTCCTTCTGATTTTGATTCTCTGTATCAAGTGGGTAAGTGTTAAAGACAAAAAGCCGGCGAGGGCCGGGTCAGTGGAGTCGCAGGTCGTCATCTCCGGCAGCCGACTCCGTAGCGGGCACAAGGGGGAGGGGAAGGGGTGGCTCAATGTCACCGGCCTCGTGGCTCCACCTTCCCGCGCTCGGCTGACCTGAGCAACTGAGGCCGACACAGGACACCCCGGCCACTGGACCAAAGTCCACCAGCGCGGAACTGCCCAGCCGGCAGCGGGAGCCCGGGCGCCCTCGCACCACTTACAGTTCATCTGCTCTCGCAGGAGGCTCTTGGTAGACGGGTGCCTCGGAGCGGCAGAGGGCTTCATCTTGCTGATTTCCCGTTCCGCCCGGTTCTCTAGGTTGAAGTTCCTGATCGCGCGAGTCACCGAGGCCCCCATCTCTTTACAACATGATTCCCTCAGGTTAACAACGCACGCGGGGGAACGCCGACGCAGGGGACCTCCGGAACGAACCGAGCATGCGCACGTGTGGGGTCGACCCGGTCGCGCTCCGGAAAACCGGCACTAAATGCGCGCAGTTTGCCCCCTAGCGGCTGGGAGGGCACAAGCCGCGTCTCCGCAGCGAGTGTATCATCAAAGGGAGCGCCCCCCTCCGTGACCCGCGTCTTGCTCTCACCTGCCGCTGCTTCCGGCAGGAGGGGCGGAGGTTAGGGCTGAAACTCAAGTTTGTTCTCACCAGTGGAGACTCCTGGAGTGACCTAGGCAACTTTAAGACAGGACTTGTAGACTCAGAATTAACTTTTCTAGAGTAAGGCGCAGCATTGGTTCAAGCCTCCCACGTGATTCCAAAGTTTCAGGCCGGGGAGGGAAAGCCGTAAGGAAATTAATTGATCGTGACCTTGAAGTACTTTTACAGGTCCATGCAGCGAAAGAGGAAGCCAATAAAAATGGAACTAATTGCAGCAGGATAAAGGAAGATTCGCAAATTGCACTTTTCTGCTTTCGTGAAAGGAACATAATGAAAGTGTATTCATTTTCGATGAATTTTGGTTCTCTGTGACTCTTATTTAAATGTTCCTTATTTTCCTGTCACCTTGCTTGTTACATTTCTGAGGTCTTGTGTTTTTTTTCTTGATTTTTTTTACATCCTGCTGTCATAACTTATTTAACTTAATTTTATCGACTTAAGTTATACTGCCCTTTCCTTTTTATTTTTGATACTAATTTGTGTTATTTACTCTTATTATTATTAAGTGTTCAGTCACCATGTCTTTCCCGTTTTTCCTGCCTTCCTCATTCTTTTTAAGCCAGGGAGACCTCCGTATAACTTAATGAAAGGAACAGCCAATAAGACATTAGAAAAAAATTAGTGTTACATATGCCCTACACACACACACTCATTTCTGAATGGATTACTGTGTTGATTTTTTTTAAGATTCTTTAGTAATAATGCCATTAATCCACAAAAAAGAACCTGCCAGGAAGTAGCAGGGTTTCCAAAGTAACAATATTTTTCAGACTGTGGCTGCAAGATCTGTTTTTAGTGTTCCCAGATCTGCTTAGCAAAATGAACTTGCTTATTTGTTTTTAATCAGTTAAAAGCAAGACAAGAATCCATGTAAAGATAATCGAATTGAAGTAATAAAAAAAAAAGAATCGAAGTAAAGAAAGGGCCGTTTTATTTAAAGAAAAATAATGAAATTATTAAATATACTTAATCATAGTAAAAGTACTACAAGGAATGTAGCTTCTACCATTATTATGAAACATTTTTACTGGGATTGGTATTTGGATTTTATAGAGGCTAAAACCAGTTGAGAAGTTATCCTGAAGGTGGCAGGCTACCCCAACATTTCCATCTTTGAGACAGGCATGCTCCTAACTTGGTGCTTTTTAGCCCAGGTTTTCATATTTCCACGGGTGTCAAGAAAATTTTATCTGCCTCGTTATGACCATGACCGTCAAAAACTATGGTAGCAATTCCACTCACTGCCTGTTAAAATATTTTGAAAGTGAAAAACTAATTTTCATAGAAATGCCACCACACTTCTGACAGCATGAAAAAGTAATGTTAGAGGTTACAGGAAGTGTTAGGTTGCTGTGGGGATTACTGCATAAAAGAATTCCTTGAATTCCCACATTTAGGTAGTGTTTGGATTCAACATTTATGGAACATTCAACTTGTGCCAGCTGCTTTGCCTGGTCCTGGCCTGGTGCTGCTCAAGCCTGCAAAGAACTGAACAGAAGGCAGATGTACACCACCAGAAATGCACAATTGGCTGTCATCCTTTGGGAATCATCATGGAACTAAAACCTGAACCGCAAATGCATAATTTCAGTTCTTCTTGTCAAAACATGTAAATTAACAGGAAGTCTGAATTTAGAACTCCCTCTGGGCTTATGTTAAGTGTTGAAGTCAGGTCCCCAAGGAAAGGATAACTAGGATGCTTCTCAGAATTAAGCATCTCTCTGAGTAGAGTGTTATGATGGGTATATACTGCCGAATATCTTAAGATACAAATAAAATAAATCCAGGGGCTGGCCAGCACACTAGAATGTAAATTCTAGGAGAAAAGGAATTTTCGTCTGTTTTGTTCACTGCTGAATCCGGCGCATTGAACAGTGCCTGATACCCAATAAGAACTAAACAAATGTCACGTAAATATCAAATGAGCCCAAAGACAAGCAGAGCCCCTGAGCTGGAGTCCAGACCTTAGGCAGGTCCTCTCTGCCTGAACACTAGCCCCTCTGCCAAGAGTGAATCTTTGTGACAGACATTCATTCTGTTGAACATACTTTCCTCATTTTAAAATTGGCACAATGGTAGTAATTATCTAATGGGTTTCACACAGTTTAAAATATAAAGTGTCTACTACAGTACCTAGCTTAGAATATGATATTCAGTATTTGCATTGCTTTTCATTGTCCAGAGGAGCAGAGAGAAGTTTATGGCGGGGGGCGGGGGGTAGAGGGAGATATTATGGCATCCTGGTCTCTAGGTAAATGAAAGGAATAAAATAACTAAATATCTAAAAGTAAAATGAGACTAAATTAAAAAATAAGTATTCTAAATTTCATTTTTATTTGCTAATTTGTGTGTTCTCCACACGTGGTGGCATTGGGGGGCTCATTAAGGTCGGAATTGGGTAGATATTATAGCTCAAGGGCACAAAATGCCACCTGCCTTTGTATAGCAGTGGCAACAGAAATAGTCCCTAGCCGGTCCCCTGTTTGCTTCCCTCCTAACTTCATCATCAGTCTTTCTCTATCTGCCTAGACTTTCACCTTTACATACTCCTTCCTTTGAACACATTTCAAGAGCAGTTTATATTCTCTAAAGAATTGCCCTTACTAAATCCACGTGACTGGTGTCTCAAGGAGTCCAGGACAGCCCCGGAGATTTCACTGCCGAAACCCCAACTGGTAGTGGGCAGAGCAGCAGATCTGGGAGGAATGACTCACCCTGACAGAACCTCTCCAGGGGCAGGACTCCAGCTCAGGAGACAGGGGATTAGGGAAAGCCTAACAGGTTATTTACAAAGTTCCCAAGCTTGACCAGTTCCATAGTGATGCATAGTGATGCAGTGTTGTAGGTTTGTGAAATCTTGAATATCTGGGAGGAAAACCCAAAGCCCCACACGGAAACAAACTAGGCTTTGAGCAGATCCACTAATTACATTGAGAAACACTGGGTCTCATAGATAAGAATTATCAACAAGCAATTATACCCAGATGCCTGCTCTGTGGCTACTGCACTCATGACTTTTGTCATTGTATGAGTTTCCAATTAGTGCTAACAAATTACCACCAAGTAGTGCCTTAAAACAGAACAAATTTATTCTGTTACAGTTCTGTAGGTTAAAAGTCCAAACTGGGTTTTAGGAGGCTAAAATTAAAGTGTTAGCAGAGTTGTCTTCTTCTCAGAATCTCTAGGAGAAAATTCTTTGTTTTCTTTATTTTTGTTTTTTGATTTTTGTTTCTTTGTTTGTTTGTTTGTTTGTTTGTCTTTGACTTAGTTACCATGTGCAGAAATTCCTTTAAACAGAGTTATAATTTCATCAGGGGAGCAGAAATAGAAAGAAGTGTACTTTTCTTTGTGATTACATTGCAAAGCACCTTTTGCAAATTTTGTGAATTAAGTGGGGAGCATTTGGTGTGTGGGGTAGGGCATCATCTTCGGAATATTCTTATCTACCAATTTAGCTATGATATGTAGTAAAATCAAAGAGAGAATAATGGAGAGAACATCTAGTTTTCTTCATTCAGCCCACGAATTTATCTTCCAATGAACCTATCTAATTGTTGAAAAAATAAAACCGTCTTGCTTGGGCAGTAGTAGTCTTTCAAGATTTGCCAAAGAACCATAGTAGCTCACTAATAAATTGCCACTACTTTGCCAGGTCTGGGCAATTCTTATGTCTTCATCTTCTTTGGAGCACCTGTATCTGAGAAGCCTCAGTCAACAAGAGTAGGAATCTCCCTTGTATAAAAGCAGCATGACTAGTTTCCCTAATTACAGCATGTTAGATATGTCAGAAGTCTACCACTTTTCTCTTCTTACTCTCCTTCCCCACTCCATTATTTCCTTCTTGGTTCAGAATTTTATAGTCACCCACCCATTCCTTCCTTTGCATTCAGGTTTTCCTCCTCTTCTCTGCATGTATCCATTTTTAAAAGGCCGGTACTCCAAGGGAAGGAAAGCCATTTGTGGAAGAGTTTATGTTTTCTGAACTCATGGACTGGAAGAAGGTAGCTGTCTCAAAAGCGGGGAGGAGAGGAGGGGAGTAGAGGCAAAAGCTACCGGGAAAAAATGGGAGATGAGAGAAAAGGAAGAAAGAAAAAAGAGGATAGAGTCAGAGGCAGAAGGGGTGTCTACAGCATTTAACATGACCAAGGAGGCTCCTTATCCAGCTCCTCTCCCTGCAGCTTCTTCTTTTGCCATTCTCCGTGCACAAACTATTTAGAAATGAACATCAATGAAAGAAATAATTATCAAAACCTGCAGAATACAGTTAAAGCAATATTAGAAGAAAATGTATGTGTGTTTCTATTAAATACATTTGTTAGAACATGAGAAAGACTGCAGGTAAATGAATTTGAATTAAGCATTCAAATCAAAACACAAGAAAAATATCAAAATAAATCCAGAATATATTTCAAAGCACTGAAGATAAATTAGAAATTAATTACATAGAAAAAAAGAGTTCTTTGAAAATATTAAATCCAACAGATCCAAGTGAAAATAAAGGCATGAATAAAGCCCTTTAGAATTTTTTGGAAAGAATATGATCACAAACATAGAGAGTTTTTTTTAATTGAGAGAAAATGATATACATAAGTTTATATACAACTTTAATATATATCTCTTCTCCTGAGTGACTTGCTTTTAACCAAGAGAATGTGGCAAATGTGAATAAAATCAAGTAGAATAGAATAGAATAGAATAGAATAGAATAGAATAGAATAGAATAGAATAGGGCATAGTTATAGAGTAGAAAAGACTATAAAATAGAAAATGCTTACTCTCATTATTACTTTA